AAGATAGATAGATAGATAGATAGATAGATAGATAGATAGATAGATGAACCGACTGAAATAGATAGATAGATAGATAGATAGATAGATAGATAAATAGATAGATAGATAGATAGATAGATAGATGAACCGACTGAAATAGATAGATAGATAGATAGATAGATAGATAGATAGATAGATAGTGATGTGAACAGATTGAGAAAAATGTCTACATATCTATGTATTCATCGATGTATTTTTTGTATTTATCGATGTTTTTTCAATGATCTGTCAGCCTATCTAATCTTGTCTGATTTGTTTTTTTGTTTACAGTCTTTCCTTGTCTCTCTGTCACAAATTATTATCATTTCTATTTTTCTCTGTTCGTATCTATTTTCTTATCCGATAGAAATAATCAAAAGTCTACCTTGATTAACAATACGAGACACCTGATAAATGCACACACGCACGAAAATCTTCCGGTTTCACAACATCAATAGTAATTTTAATAATGAACATGAAAAGCTTAATAATTTATAAAAATGTTTGAACAAATATTTTTTTAACTCAAATAAAAAGTGAATCTTCAAATATTTGCTTAATGGGAAAATAAAATAAATTTGTTTAAAAACCTCGACAATCAAAGCCCAGAAAGGCACTTTGAGATAGTAAAAGTTGAACATGTCTTGTGAAATATATAGATAGATACATAAAATACATTCATAGAGAAGCAGAATGAGAATGTGTGTGTGTGTGTGTGACTGAAAGAAAAGAGAGAGAGAGAGAGAGAGAGAGGAAGAGCGCAGATCCAGAAATTGAGGAGAAGCTCACGTGCGTGGAAAGAAAGTCTAAAGTGAGGAGCTAGTGACGGGCCCAGGCAGGAGCAGGGTTAGAGCGATACGGAGGCAGAGGCTGGGGGCATACACACGGGCGCGCATGCGCACGCACATTAGCACAGACACACACGCACACACGTGTTTGTGTACGTGCGTATGTGTGCGCGCGTGAGCGACAGAGAAAATAAAGAGAATATAAGAAGAGGCAGAGAAAAAATAAGGCTGGATGACGAAACAAAACAAATTATTGATCGAACTGTTGAAGGACATATAAATAGAACAAACAGATAGATTGATAGTTATGGACAGTCTCTTGAAAAGATAGGGAGACAAATACAGAGATTGATGCAGGCCAAGGCAAATATCACACACTAAAGCAACAAAGAAACACACACAATTTATATATATATATATATATATATATATATATATACCTTAAGAGATAGGAAGAGAGATACTAGTAAAATGAATGAAATGAATTTTTTTTTTTTTAATATACCAGTTTCTCTCTTTTTGTCTGTTTTCTTTCAAAATCTGAGAAAGATTTAATAAAAGTGAAACATGTGATTTTTTCTTTATTTTGAGATACATAGATAGATAGATAGATAGATAGATAGATAGATAGATAGATAGATAGATAGATAGACTGTGTTTACATAATATACGCAGCAAACCGCCTTCATAAACATCTCTATATACCGCTTTCAGATACAAGGACATTCGGATATGCAGAGGATTTATAACTGTCATGTAACTGCACATTTACATTGGCTTAATTCATATATATATATATATGTGTGTGTGTGTGTGTGTGTGTGTGTGTGCGTGTGTGTCTGATAGAAATTGTATATATATATATATATATATATATATATATATATATATATATATAGAGAGAGAGAGAGAGAGAGAGATTGCGAGAAAAAAAGATTATTTTCTCCCTCGAAATCAATACAGAGAGCATAGTGTTTACACATGAATCGAGGCGGGAAAAGATTATTATATGTTGAGTGTGGGTTGAATTCTTAAAACCAGATTCTGCAACAACTCCAAATCTACTGATTAGCCTCGCAAGTAAGAGGTGGCTGCAATAACAATGGAGATTTTGTCATTGCAATACTTCTAAATGGAATCAACAGGCACGCCTTCCTTATATCTATTCGACACACACACACACGCACACACACACAAATACATACATACATATATGCGAGGGTATGTGAGCAGGAATATACGTTTTTACTAAAATTATTTGTATTTTGTCACAAGTTTTCGAACTCAATCCATCTAGGTTTCTATATCAGCTCAGTTTCAATTATCCCACGATAAAGCGCTAGACGATCAGTATAACTTCAAATTATTAAACGTGAAAATGATCTAATGTGTGTATGCGTGTGCGTGTTTGCGTGTGTGAATTTGCGTGTGTGTACGTGTGTGTGCGCGCGCGTGGACGCGGGTTTGCGTACGTGTATGCGAGATTGCGTACCTGATAGTGAGATACAGAGTATTCGTGCATACACACACAACAACACACACACACACACACACACACATACACACAAACACACACACACATATATATATATATATATATATATATATCAGATAGACCAACTGTAGATGCTCTTCCTTAACTGCAGCCAAACATACAGTTATTTATTCTGATAAAAACAAATCACCTTACGTAGCCAGTAAACACACAAGGATAATAAGGATTTGCGCCACACGTTTTATTACATTATAAGAATTAAATAACAAAAACGTGTACTTAAATATAATCACACACACACGCACACACACACACACACATATATATATATATATGGATTATATATATATATATATATATATATATATATATATATATATATATATATATATATATATATATATATATATATGTTTATATATGGAGGTTGAGATTTGTTATAGTTAATGGTCAACAATATCGCAAACATAGTAATTAAAATTAACGGTCCATAAAATAGTGTTCATATTAATGTTTACTATCTTTCTCTATCCCCACTATATATATATATATATATATATATATATATATATATATATATATATATATATATATATATATATCTGTATGTATCATATATATATACTATATATGGAGACAGACAGAGAGAGAGAGAGAAGAAGAAAGAAAGAAAGATTAAACACAAGCAGGTATGGCAAATCGGTAGATCTTTTCAGCCGAATTAAAAAATCTTATACTTTTTATAAGATCTTTGATTCAATGAGAATTTATATAGGAAATGCCATGTAAATTCATATGGGAAAACGCCATATAAATTTTAAATATTAACTACAATATTGGGAAAATCTTTTACACGTTGAAATTATATATATATATATATATATATATATAATATAATTTCAACGTATATATATATATATATATATATATATATATATATATATATTTCAACGTATAAAAAATTTCTACCTTCTTCTTAATATATAAATGTTTGCCTACCTAATTGTTCTTAATTATATAAAACATTTCAATGTTGAATTCACATATATATATATATAATATATATATATATATATATATATATATATATATATATATATATATATATATATATATATATATATATATATATATATATATATATATATACTACTCCATGACGCATATTCACACAATACACCTATGCTCACATGCTGGATACAGAAATGCCCACACATGCTCACATACATTCACATACATATCTCTACTTGACATTCAATAACATGTACACAACACAAAACACATACACACTACACATACACATAAATCACTATTCTGTCAATAATGACTCTTTTTGACCAGGTACCATATTGGGTCAGTTAGTTTGCTTGGCAGTGCCCATCTCCTCTACATGTAAAAAATTTGACTGTTTTCCTTGATCCTACCAGCAGAGAATAATGCTATCGTTGTTCTGCTTATCAGCTGTAATTAAAACCGATTCTCTTGACTCTGCACTTCACCATTTGGCTATCTCCAGATCTTGATGAAATTACACAAAAATATTAACATTAATAAACCCATATGTACAGATATAGTTGTACAAACATATATAGAGATTCGTTGATAGATTCTGAAAGTAATCGACGCGATACCAAAATGTCCTTAACTCTGATCGGAATTTTCATTTTTAGTCTGTTCTCGATGGAAAAGCAAATGTTTTAACAATACTCATAGATATGTGTGCATATATGTCAGTATATTTGGTAATATATATGAAGGGTGCTGAGAATTTCTTAGCCCATTCCACATGCTCCAAATTTGTATTTATATAAGTAAATATCAGAATACTGAAATGGGCCGGCCAAAATATTTATGCTCCTACTTGGACAAACACACACATGGACTTGAAAGCATTTCATGACACATTGGATCATCGTGATGCCATACCAGTATATTTTACTTCGATTAACTCATTACCTTTACAAGTAACAAGCAATACGTTGTAATGGTTTACAAGCTTACAAGAACGTAAGCCAAAAGAGATTTTCTGGTTTGCTCGTTGAAATACAGATTTTCAAGCTTTCATATATAAGTTTTTGTGTCTGTATTTGTTCGTCTAATTTTATGTAAAAAAACAAGAAAATATTGCTGTATATACAGGTAATTATATTATTTTCAATTAATTATTTCTCCTACATTAAACTTAAAATTGACACCTCCTGCTAATCCTCTACCATTAAAAGAGTCAGATCAGGTCAAAAATGGAGTACTGTTGCCATATATGGGCATGAGCTGACTAATCTTCACTGTCCAGTCTCGACAGAGGCAAAAACTGCCTTCGTATCGTTTTCCAACCTAACCCCCCCCAAAAAAGTCCGAAACATCTCGCTGCCCTATCACTATTTCAATGGAAAGTGTTCGAACGAACCATATTCCTTAGTTCCACCAAATCTAATCTTCACCAGCCACGCCCCCGCCCCTGGTAGCAAACAACACTTGTTTCCGTTGGTGGGATGTAAGTTCTACTCGAGCAGATTCTTCCCACGAAATGCTGCTTTGTGAAACGAAATCTTCTCCACAAAACAGAGGAGGTGGATGTTTCGTTCTGATAAGTTGAACATCTTGGTGTTCACAATATAAAAATTATTAAAAAAAATGGATAATTAATGTCTCCCTTTTCTTCTTATCATTATACATTATATTGCTCTGTAGTCTACATT